CATATCTCCTTGCTGAGCAATTTCTGACCAGACTAAGGCGATACCTGTTTTTTTAAAACACTCTCCTGCTAGTGTCATTTAAAACTATTTCCTTTCTGATTGATAAGGAAAATCGTTACTTGAGCAGGTGCTTTCCAAAGCTATAGCACTCTCTTGCTACTTCTACAGTACAGTACTTGTCATTCTCACTATTGACAAAGCCAAGCAGAAAAAGAGAAAAGCCCATTGTTTAAGGTGAATGTAGCTAGTTGCACTTCAGTTAAAAGATAAAGGGGAGGCAGGGGGGAGGTGGAGTTGTTGGCTTACTTTAGCATATAAATTGACCCTTTCAGCTGGAATCCTATCTCACTTGTGTTAGAAAGATGACACCTCGCACCCTTCCCTTCACAGGCTCATTTAAACCATAGAAAAGAGATCTGACGTCTTGTCTCCTGGTACTTACTGCAGCAGTGCTGTCTCTTCTATAGTATAAATGTTCTGCTTTTGGAATAGATTTTGTTGGCTAGAAGGAGAAGTGAAGTGTGCCAGCAACTACAGAACCCCTTTAGCACTTCATCTGATGGAAACTTCTGGGAAACCAGCTTAGAGGCTGCAGTTTAAGTAGCTTTTCCTTGGAAGGAGATGAGCCAGCCTTCATAGATACGTTTTTACTGATGAAAACAGTGACTGGATTAGTGGAAACTTCCTGCTATTTATAGATCTACTTTTCAAGGACATTTATAAGGTTAAAGCAAGCCAAGAGTCGTACTGACTTTTTTTCTGTCTAGAGTCACAGTTGTGGGGTATGATGTTTGGTATTCTGCATTTAAACTTTTGATAAAAGTCTGCTGGCAGAAACTTCAGTCTTAGATTCTTAAATATGAATAACTTAACTCCACATCTAATAATTTTCCTGAGCATCTATTGCAGAGCTGTTGGAAGCTCTATATATTCACTGATTTAAAATCAATTTAACTATGCATATATTCATAGAATCATAGAATAGTTAGGGTTGGAAAGGACCTTAAGATCATCAAGTTCCAACCCCCCTGCCATGGGCAGGGACACCTCACTCTAAACCATATCACCCGAGGCCTCGTCCAGCCTGGCCTTGAACACTGCCAGGGATGGAGCATTCACAGCCTCCCTGGGCAACCTATTCCAGTGCCTATTCATAAGCATGTGCCCTGCCAATGGCCTGGCGAAAGCTCCTGCAAGACAGTGTTGTGAATGGTGAGGAATACTTGGCACTGTGCTGTTAACAGACCAAAAAGAAAGGCAGGAGAAACCCATTACCACATTGATATACAGAACTATAATTTAAAAAGGAACAGAAACCATGAAGCAATAAATCAGTGAGAAAGTTTGCTGCAAAACATGTCTGTGACAATGAGTGTGATCAGGCAGCATCACACAATGAAGCTGAACAAACAGTTGTTAGCTTAAGGGCTTCTGGTTGTTGTTAAGTTCTATAATCTTTCCCTGCTAAAATATAAAGTGGGAATGATCCTACCAAAAGATGGAGTAAACGAGAGGTGGGCTTGTTGCTAAACAGAATGTATGTAAATGCTTAAAAGTGGATATTGCAGCTTGTTCTGATAGGACTACCCCAAACAAAAGTTTGTTCTGGAAACAATCATGTTGTTGTAACTCCTGTTATGAAGACTTCCAGATAAGATGCAAATTTTCTGGTTCTAGAAATGGCTGAAGGAAGGAATGAAAATAGGCAAGGCTCTTTTTTAGGAACAATTGCAGTAGCACCAGGGAAAGCAAAGACAACAGGTATTCATGGGACTTCAGTAATATTTTTCATGTTATTTTTTCAGATCAAATTCTAGATAATTGGTCATATTTCAATCGCATGAGTCTCATACGTACTGAAGACATCTGTCATCTTTCCCTGGAAAGGACACCCTGACCTTCCCTGAGGTGTACATACCAATACCTTCTAGATTGTGGGTAGTGTATGTCTAGAAAAGAGTAATTTGGAAGTGTGAGTGCTGGCGTTCTGTGTGCACGGGGTGTGTGTTTGCCATAGCTCTTCAAACTCACCCAGAGTTAGCACAGGCCTAAGGTGGTGGAGGCACTACAGGAGTAGTCCTGCAGGCAGGAGGCCCTTCTCTCAGCTCATACTTAGCAGTTGTTCTCTACCTCCACTCCCAGGTATGTCTGTTGGGAAGGAAACAGGCCTGAAAGCCTGTGTGGAGAAAGTACACTTGAGTTGTCTTATCAGTGAGAGAAACAGATGGAAAATGGAACGTAAATTATAACATTGCAAAGCAAATGACATATCTGTAACTAGCTTGTAGGTCCTTTAACTCAAGGTCTAACTATATTTTGTATGCAGTCAGCACTTCCTCAGAAGTTACTTAACAACAAAAAGACAGTATCAGTTGTAGATGTCATGAATGCAAGGGGGGACCAAACCCACTTGTTCTGGACTGCTGAGACAGACTCTTATCAAAACTTCTGGCTTGATTTGCGTGTGGATATTTTTTTCCTTTTGGGCACTGCTCAGACTATTCTACTCAGTGGCAGTTCCAAAATGCTGTAAGAAAAGTTGCAGTGAATCCTTGCATTTTATTTAGTTTCACGTAACACTCACAAGGATAACTTAAATATTTCTCCTCTCCAATACTGGAAACCCATTGCCAACTTCAGGTTTTGCTGTTCAGTGTGATTTGTTTGTTCCAGTCCTGCTGAAAAACAGAGATTAGCTCTGTTGTATGATCTTCCTGAACTAATCTGCCTAAAGCCAGCTGGGCTTCATACAGGCAAGTTCAGGCTTGTGGTTGTATTGTAACTTACTTTCTTGCACCTGACTTGTCTAAGAATTACAAGTCACTTGTTTAACACTCTTGCAGTTGAAGTATGAAAAGCGATTGTATATAAGCCTTACAAGGCCTTATGAAAGATCAGTCACAGACACACATACCTTAATATATTGTGTTTTTATACGTTTGGGTAAAAAAAAAGAAATGCCTGCAGCAGTCTTTTTATGTATTAGTAACAGAGTAACAGGTGGAAAAACAAGTTTGCCATTTTTCATGCATTATTTATGTGGAATATGCATTTCCTTTCCTCTTTTTAACATTAAAATTTAGTTACTCTGCTTACCCGTCATCTGAAACAAGATGAATATTTCATGTTAATTATCTGTTCAATGATACGGTAGATTTAAAAAAATCTAATCTGAATCTTTTTGACTAAGAGATCAAAACAGCTTGGGAAAGAGGGGAATTAGGCTAAAACTGTAATGAAGTCACATTCCTCTTTAAAATATAATGTAAGGTAATGTTTTTGGTCTGTTTAAAATTGTGAAATAGGAGCATCACAGCAAGAACAAACTCAGAGTAACTGGAAATTGTAATAATCTTGATAGTCTCTTAAATATTCACTCTTGTAAAGTCTGATGTGGGAACAGCTAATTGATGCACAGTTCACTGCCCACTTAAGAGCATGTAATGCGCAGTGTGAATTTTGTTGTACCATTTAAAATCACTTGTGTCAAACTGAAAGAATTTGGCATTAATTTTAGGCTAAGTAAAGTATATTTAAAAAGCAAGTTGATCCTTGGGTTTAACTCAATATGACTTTTTTTTTTTTTTATAAACAGTCCTAGACTTTCTGAGGAGCTCTTTGTGTATTTTAATACTTAAATATTCCAAAGCTTTAAAGAACAATCAGAATTTTAATCGTTTCATGTATCAGGCAAGTACTTCATTTCACCATCTTACACTATTTTCTTCCACATGATCATCAACAAAGACACGGAAAGAATTACTACAGAACTACAAAAGAAAATGCTATCATAAATAAGAGTTGCTGGGCTACTGCGCTGGAAGTGAACTGTGATGTGTCCCTTCACTGTTTGTCTGATTATGAAATGGGGAAAGGATTTTAGAATAGCAGAATTCTTTGATTCTGTTCCTCACACTGAGAGCAATGTGTAACCTTAACAGTAGGAGAAGTGTTAAAGAGAGTATTGCCAAGTATGTGTTCTAGCAAATTTCATTCCAAATGGTGTACAGCTAAGCACCTGAGAACTGGTAGTTAGGCCTTTTGGTTTACCCTTTAGAGAGAGAAATTCATTTGCAGTAAATCCTAGCCATCATCTTATAGCTGGTCCTAAATACATTTTTCAAGCTGCTTCCACAACACAATAAGCCTGTGACTGGAAGACAGAGGTCGTTCAGAAGATGGAGGCCACGGCTGAGCTGCCACGAGCAGTGCAATTTACCCAGTTGGCTGTATGCTTCTGCCTGGATGTAAGAAACTTGCTGAAAGGGAGAGGAACCAAGAGAAAATAGCAACAGTAGCAGCCTGCTACTAGCCACCTTTATTTTCTGATGTTTCACTTGCTGCTGTTTGGCTCTGGTGCAGAGCGAACAGGCTGTCAGTTAGATATAGACAGGTGTCTGTATGTATATGCTATGTAAGTACATGCAAATATATACATACCAAATAAAGCAGATATTTTGTGAAGGATAGAACTTAATGTACAGCACTTACTGTAAAATGGTAAAAGGTCTTTTTCTTCCAGTACAAGTATGTTGTACCTAGAAAGTAGTGTCTGCTGATTAAACCAGCTGTGGACTCAAAAGTATGTTGGCTGTGGCTGGAAAGACATTATTTGGCTGGATAAAAACAGAAGCCATAGAACTTCTTACCCGCCCTTGATTTTCAGCTTCAAGCAGATGAAGTCTTGATTGTGGTCAAACATAGGTAAGAACACTGGGCTAGAACATGTTTTTTCACTAGGGAGCCGTATGAGGCACACAGGCAGTGAAGCCCTATGTGAAGGAGGGAATAGAGCACTAGGAGTTCATCACCACCTAACACCATAGGTGCCTAACTCACAAAATCAGCAACAATATCTTGTACAGTCCTATTTGTTAACTTACTTGTTTTGTCTGGGCACCGAGGAGAATACGTAGACTTGGGCATCTTCCAAGGTCTCAGAAACTTTGGAAAACTTGGTTATCTCTTTTATATCAATGAGACTGTGAAATATCTGAAAAGATTTTAAATATTTAGAAGTAAGGGAACTTGTGGAAAAAGTTGTGATAAAACTGAGCTCTGGAGAAATTGAAACTTCTTAACTCTGAGCATTAAATCAGTTTCAGATATTTACCTGAATTAGTGTGAGCTAACTTTAAATGAGAAATGATGCTTTTTTCCATGTCCAATAATGTCATGATGTTCACTTTCATTTCTCATGACTCATAATCAATATCACTTTGGGATTTTATTTTAATGGACTAGTACATGAATACATTGTGTCAGGTTTTTATTTCCTTTAACCCATGTTTAATCTGTTTTAAGTTAACTTATTTGCTTGTTGTATTGCAGAACCATCTCTATTCACAGCCTTAGTGAGAACTCTGCATATTTTAAAGTAAAAATCGATCTGAGAATGCCATTTAGAATGTGAAGTTCTATTTGCTTCTGGTTTTATTTGCAGATTTGATTATTTATTTGCTGTTCTAGCAAAACATAACTATCTGTGTGGAGCTGCTGCTTCAGGGCACTACATCTAGCACGTATAATGGACTTAAAATACGTTGTTATACTCTGAAATCTCTTCCCCTTTTCTCTTTTGTTATTCTTCCCCTTCACCTTCTGCAGTCACCTTCATAAAATGGCATTGAATGGTCATGTGTCAATGCCATTATATAAAATGAACTATAGGGAGATTTACTCCTTGCTTCCTATTTCATGTTCGTTCATGTGGTAAGGAAAGGCAGACTTGACCTCGTCTTACTGATTTATGTGCACATCAGTATTAATTCTACAGATTGTGGGGGTTTTGGTTTCGGGTTTTTTAAGCTTTCTGGACAAATTCTGTTAGAGCAGAGTACAGACAGAACTTGCAAAGTTTTACATTGCTTTGTCCTTCTTTATGATTTTATTCTTTCACATTAAATACTATTGAAGCTTTTCACCTTCTTTAAAACATCTGTTGCACAATTAAATCTTTCCTATGATGAAATGATAAATTTAAAACACTTGAGGCTTAACAGATGTTTTGTTCAGTCATTTATTTGTTATACTGTATTCCTTTGCAACTTTCTGTTTTACTGCCTTTCACATACTAATGGCTTCAAAGGACTTTGTTTCCAACTTTCCCTTGTCATCAATGCCTTTCTTTTGAGCAAAGGGTAACTTGGAAAATAGCATCTTGACAGAAACAGCAGGTAGTAATATCCTTGAACTACATTGTCTCCATGTGGAGCTTTGACTCAGCCTTTCATTCTCCTGTTTAATGTAAATAATTTTTGGTTTCATCTCTAAGACATGAAGTTACTCGACCTGCCCTGGATGCAAAACAGGACAACAGGAGATAAACGTAATTAACCACTCTGTCCATTCCCAGACGTCTAAGAAAGTCTCTGTCAAGAGACTTGAAATCTTTCAACCTCAACCTTCTCTAACTAAAACCAAACTGTGAAGTATATTTCAAGTAAGGTGATGCAGTTAATACTTCTATTGATTCTAATATAGCTATTTAGTAGTTTTCAAGTTTCAGTGATTTTGCTGGTAGCTGTTAGTATTTGTTTCTTGATCGAGGTCAGGATATTTTACTAACTTGAACTAATTCTTCTAGTCTTCTGTTCCTAAGAACAGTCAACAAAGGGTAAATAAGCAGTACAGTTACCCAGTGCAAACAGTGAGGCTGAAGTGCAACTGCTGCAGGAGTTCTGCATTCTGGCCTTACAATGAGTATTTCTGTTAGAAATTGCTCTCCTTGTTTTTCATCAACTGCAAAGATGGTCTTTTAGGATGTCTTCTTGCTCATGGGATGCTGTGTATGGAGAAATAACTGTTACACATTTGGGGTTAGTAATTTTTCTTTTTTTATAACAAACCTAACAGCATTCATGGAATTCTAGTCTTGTCTTATTTTCTCAATAGAAAATATAGGCACAACCAGCAGTCTTGGTTAAGCCTAAAAATATTCCAGAGACTCCTGAAGTTTCAGCTTAAAAGATCTTTGTACCTGTGCATTGAACCTATTTGAAACCAAAATAAATTTACCATGGGACTTGGCGTTACTGTGTGTGGTCATAGTTCAGATTATAGCTGTGTTATGCAGCATGGTTTCAAGAACCATGTAAGAGAAATGTTTAGAGGTTTTTTCAAGTTATTTAAGATACTTGAGGTGTTCTCCCATAATCCCTGTCTGAAAGAGATTTTCTTCTCTTCCCTGTTGTGCACTTGAGGTAATAGCAAAATAACAAAGCAAGTATCTGTAAACATTAAAACTCTGTTTTCTTAACCAAATCTGGGAACATTTAATGTGCCTCTGCTCTTCTAGTCACAAAGATTTCATGTTCAGGGTATGGGGGAATGGAAAGCAGAAAAAACACCTTTGAAAGGCAGGTATTTTAATAGTTATGCTTATCATCAAGATCAGTGTTTGTGGCTTATTAATTTGCTGCATAATATAATGCCAAAGAACTGGTTCAAGTTTACAGCATGTCTGCCACAAACTGGACTGAAGTGACCTGTTATCATGCAGTCTGGTTGTGTTACTCTGTTTGATAGGTTTGGGGGTTGCCAATAAAGGATGACAAGGTTAATACCTGGTTATTGTATAGCATGAGCTCTCATGTATAAAACCTCATCATGAACAGCTTGAATACAGAGCAAAGTGGCTTTAGTTGATGTGAGAAATAGATATTTGTCTTTACCTGAAGTAGTTTCCTTTACCTTTTCACAAGATTAATAATTAGTGAACACTAGAGTCTGACCTTAGGTTATGCTGTTAATAATCCAGAGTAACCTACTGTCTTTATTAGAGCTATATTGTTACATGTAGGCTAGGGGTTGTTTAGCCTCTCCTGAATTAGTCTTCTACAAAAACTTGTCTCCTTATATAAATCTTACTTGGGAGGGTACAAAATGTGGCTAACCTGTTGTCTTAAACTAGCAATAAAAACCATGCTTTATATTTGCTGTAAAAAGGTGCTTTCTTTATTCAAAGTGCGGGATCTGACCTGTAATTTAAATCTTAATAGGTCAAAGTGTGCTTACTATGGGTTCTTTTCAAAATGTTGATTCGAAACATGAAAGAGGAAATTAAATGGGTGAGCCAGTACATACAGTGACTGTGGATTACCAGTGGCAGTAGGAGATCCAGCATAAAATGGCTTTTGCCTGGTGCACAACATACAGAGAGTCTTTGGTTGAGAGAAAAAGAAAATGCAATTAGAGATACAGTCACTAGTATATAAAAATACTATTTGAAAGTGTTCTAGAACACTCTAAAATAAACTTGTAAAATAACCCAGCCCAAACCATTTAGAAGGAAGTGTAGTTTTTAAAGTTCTCTTCATTTCAGGACATGTTTTGGCAGCATTCTTTGTAATAAAGATGAAAAAACCCTCTTTCTAACTAAGCATTCAAAGCCGAAAGACTTGAAGGCTGCAGTCAGTTCAAGTGCTGTGTGAGACAGAAATAACAACCTCCCAGCGTCAGGTTTTCCATTCTTGCCGCACCAGGTGAATGGGTGTTTTATTGAGCGTCTGCTCTGTGGTGGCAGCGCAGGCCAGAGGAAGGGAGGGTGAGAGCTGAGTCAATACCCGACCTTGTTGGGTGTCTGTCGGTGCTCGGACACGGGGGCTGGCTGCATTAGCAGTGCCAAGGGATAGCCGAGAGTGCTGCTGTGGCAGCAGATGCTCAGAACGGGCTTTTTACAAACAGGGAGAGTAAGCTTGCTTTTAAAAGGGCAAAAAGTCTGTCAAGGCAGTTATTTTGAGGGGCACTTGAACACATACCCTGAACTTTTAGAACTTCCCCAGTCACTTTCTAGTCTGCATATTTAAAACCAAGCAAACTTTGTAATTTTGTTTGTGCTTCTTGGTTATTTTATTCCTGATTTCTTTTCATACTGTTTTCCTTTTAAAGTTGCAGATAAGTGTTTAAAAAAGCCTTTTAAAAGCCTGTTAGAGTCTAAAATGCATCTTTCAGTTGAGTTCAGTGTAACAGAAACGCAGTGGACTGAAGTGCATTCACTACTGCAGCCTTAAAATAACAAGGTGGCTTACTCATGTCTGTTACTTCAAGTGTTTATGTAACCACATCGTATTTACTTTTCTATTGCATATGAGCAACTAATTACTAGAGCACCTCTTGCTCTCATAGTATTTATATTTCAATAGTCACCAGCAACTTTAAATACAAACAAAAAGAGGGACCCAGAAAAAACAAGGTATCTATTAAAAAAAAATAATACAGGACCCTTTGTCTCTCTCACCTACCATCCTGAGTATGAATTCCCTTTTTCTTGCTAATCAAGAAGTTAACTGTTCTCACTGTATTCTGATTCTTCTTCCAGCTCTCACATAGTCTGTTGTGCAAAGAGACAGAGAAGTGGGGATTGGGGCATGAAATGGGAGATGCTGTAAGGAAAAGCACATTTTTCTTCCTGAAATGCCTCATGTTCTCCCATAAACAATAATGCAGACCCATGTTTTTTGTTGTTTACCTGTATCTGTCTGTATGTTAGGAAATTGCTATTGGTTTAACACTGGCAGCACCCAGTATTCGCAGTGGGGTAGCCGTAAGGTTGACTGAGGAATAGATTCCTGAAGGAGGCATGCCAGAGAACCAGCTGTGGAACAGAGCCTGCTGTTCTTGCCATGACAGTAAAACACACCTCTAGTCACGGCTCTCAGCTGTGACACAGTCTGAGAATCTGCTCATGGCCCCAGCACTCTAGTTTTTTTCAGCAGCTCCTGGCTGAGACCTGGTAACTGTGTGTACACGTCTAACGTGGGTGAAGTCAGACTGGGTGCTTCAGGACACTTCAGCTGCTCTTCCCAGCAGTGTGTTGCAATCCCCAGACAAGACTGCCACGCACTCAGCATGTCAGTGCCAGCACAAAGAAGGGAGTGGGGATGATGTGGCCATCTGCATCCAGAGCTGGATGATGTGGCTGCGTGTACACAGGGCAGGACCGCAGCAAGCAGAGTTTACCTTGGTTTGCACACAGAACCACACCCGAAGGATTGAGGTATTTTCCCTCTTGTATCCTCCTAAAGCAGAATGAAACAGTTCAGCTTTTAACTGCTCAGGGCTAAAAGCAAGCTGTGCTGGAGGGCAGCAGAGCCTAAGATATTTAGGATGCTGAGAAATCTGCTGCTTCTTGGCTGTTAGTTAATGCTGTTTGTCAGGCTGTAAGCCCTGATAAAACAGCATGGGAAATTAATCAGCATATGGATTAGCAGGTGTGCTGTGAATGAATGTGAGAGGCTACTTTGTTAATTCTGAAGGTGCAGTTGGTTAATAAACATTAAAGTTTAATTTTCAGACTGAAAATGGATAGCAGCTATTTGGATAGTAAAAACTATCTCTAGTTCTGTGCTATTCTCTGACTTGGCAAGAAAAGAGGCTGTTACTAAATCAGTGTGAGCTATTCTGGAGAGAAGGAAGTATTTATTTTGTCTGGCACTCCATGTTCCTTTTGCATAATAATGAGTGATTAATTATTTTTTCTATCCCTTATATGCTTCTTGGTTTGTCTGTGGCCAGATCTGGTTACTTATTTAAACTACCGGGATGAGCAACAGCAAGAAATTTCCCATTCTCCTAAATATATTCCAGTTAATGTTAGTTAAATGTATTTTATTACTGCTCTTTGTTAACTAAATCCAGAACTATCTGAAAGAAACAAATACAGTTGTATGTTTATCAACAGGCCAAGTTCTGGTAGAAATTTCAAGAACACACAAGAAACTCAATGACAGCCTAGAGGAGAGTGTAAGTTAAACCATTTCTTTTTCTATTTTCCATCTGAAATTAGAAATAATTTTTTTTGCCAATTTGTAATAACTCTTCATTCATTTGCTTTTAAAGTTCAAAAAATTTCATAAAGAAATTATATCTGAACTGGAGAAGAAAACAGACCTGGATGTGAAATACATGACTGTAAGTACATTCAATTATAAAAATCATATTTTATCCATCTATGGCTACTCAAAGAACTTTTCAGAAATAGGTTCCTAGCAATTAATCACTGTGTTAGAACTGAGCTTTAGATGCATAAACACTAAAAAAATTGTCATACTTATTTTGTGTTAAAAAGGAACCAGTGCAGGGCTTTAAGAATATTTTTAAACTAAAGTGGAGAGAGGCAATTGGCTGAACTCATTTGCTGTGTGATAGCAGCATCTCATAGATGATGGCAGTGCTTCTTAGTGACTGACTTACCCAGTCCGGGGCTGAGTGCACTGAGATGTTTGAATGCTTTGATTGCAGGCAACTTTAAAGAGGTACCAAACTGAACACAGAAGCAAATTAGATTCCTTAGAGAAGTCTCAGGCTGAGCTGAAAAAAATCAGGAGGAAAAGCCAAGGAGCACGAAATGTAATGAAATATGAGCACAAAGAAATGGAGGTGAGTATGTTGTCGCTGATCTGTTTCTTTCTTTGTATCAGAACTGGTCAACAGCAAATGTCAAGTTATTACTGGCCACATCTGAGTCTGCTTTTAAAACTCGACTTCTGAAGCTTACCATGATTTTTGTGCATGCTATGTCATGAGTTAATACACATAACTCCTCTGTAAGTTGTTCAGCAAAGAGTTAAACTTTACGGTTTCAAAGAACATGCATTTCTGGTTCCTCAGAGTTGGTTTGTGTTAAAGGCACTCCTAGAATATGTATTCCAGTTGAAATTATGCCCCAGACTGCTCTCCTGTATGCATTCAGAGACTGTTTCAGTTTCTAGGTTTCATCCCTTGACCAGTACTTGATTTTTTTTTAATTATTATTATTATTTTTAAAGCACCTCTGTATCTACACCTTTATACAGGGGTTTACGCAGGGACTTAGCTACTCTATGCAAATTCAGTAGTCATTTGTTGTAACCATTTCCCAAAGCAGGCATAGGTAACCACTACTACCTGTCCTACTGATCTTAGAGCAGCATTGCCATCTTGAGGCGAAGTAAGAAATGGCAAGACAATGAAGAGAAACTTAATTAGGAAGTCTTATCCTGGTTGTCACATCACTCTCAAAACATATTTGCTATTGATGCATTTTTTGCACTTCGTGCTAGCTTATATAATTTTTCTCCATATTTTTCTATTTCAATTTTCAACATGATTAGTTCCAACTCCTATTTCTTACTACCTACATAACAGTCCAGGTTTTTTAAGGTATAGGACTAAAAATTCAAGGATTAGCATTTAATCACAGTTTAGCCATGAATCCTCATAACCTCAGAAAAATAGAGCTTATTCTTTTTTTAACTCCCTTTCCCCTCCCTAAAACACAGTAACACGGTAGAGGTGCAGTGTAACTTTGTGGGAGTAAATGTAACTGCCATGGAGTAGATAAAGGCAATTAGTCTGATGAGAGCACCTGTGGCCTTAAAATTGCTCACCACAGTTGCTGCTTTGAAGTCATATTCTTATTTACTGAAGTGTTTTATTTAGAGGCTAAAAGTGTGCTGCTTGTTTTGCTTCACTTTCCCCATGCCATAACTAGATGATCTGTGCCTGATGAGATGTGGGAAGTTGGGTGTGTGCAGGAGGAGAGGAACTTGGCAGCAGAGCCACCCTATCCCACCCTTCCAAAAGCTTTTTTCTAAGGCTTTGGGACTTCACTTTAGGAACTGGATCTAGTACCAAATAGAACTCCGAGTGCATATGATTATTTTTTCTTTCTTTCCTTAGTATTTGGAAACAGTGAGCTCTCGACAGAGTGATATTCAGAGGTTTATTGCAGAAGGCTGCAGAGAAGCTCTCCTTGAAGAAAAAAGAAGATTCTGTTTTCTGGTTGACAAGCACTGCAGCTTTACCCAGCACATGCACTTCTACCACATTCAGGTGAGTGGCATGAGTGAAGTAGAAATGAAACTCCTGAAATCTAATCATCTCAGAGATTGTAATTATCACCTGCAGTATGTAGATCTGACTGCCATAAATAGCTAAGGAACACTGTAGTGCTAGACAGATGTGCAATATTCTCTTAAATGTGCTGTAGCAACAGGGTTCCATGAGTTTTTAAAAAATCATATATTAAGAAAAAAATGTATGGCTGGATCAGGTATTTCCAGTATCTGACCCTGAAAAAGGACAGTCTCCTTCCACAACGGTATTTGTTTCACACAGATATGACTTACAAAAATCTTTAAGGACTTCCATTTAACTGGTGTTTCCATTTTGGTATCATGAAAATTAACAAGTAGGTCTGTGCAATTTATGAAAGAAGCCTATCTTTGACAAGTACCTTTTTAAACTTGGATGCAGTGTGCGGACTTCCTGAAATCCAAGCTGCCTGGGTGGCAGGAGATCTGCAGCGATGCCACCAAAGTGCCTGAAAAAGTCAGAATGATGATAGATGAAATAAGGACACCTGGTTCCACCCCAGTATCAGGAACTCCACTGCCTTCCCCAATGATAGAGAGAAATACCCTGGTAAGATGTACTTTAATGGTTAAAGGTTCTCATCTCTGCTCCCCTTGGCTTCACTACCTGCTTTTGTACCTAAGCATGTGGGATCGAGTCTACAATGTACCTCAGCAGGAATAATGGGCTGGGTATGAAGCAAAATCATTTGCTGAAGTTCTGCTAGTGGAAGAACACAAGATAGAGTAGGCAGGAGCACAGCTCCAAACAAGTTCTGTTTTCAGTTGAGTGCCAGGAACTTCTTCTGAAGAGCCCAGCCTCAGGACAACTTTTGTCCTAACCATTCATTTCCTACATTCTTATCTTATTATGTAAGTAATAGTAATTACATACTCAGTAGTTCAATATAAACTTAAACAAAACGTTATTTTCTATTTTCTTTCTTCCCTTCATGATTCTTATGAAGCTATTAGAGCACAGGTTACATTCTAAATTCTACCTATTTGTATGTTATGTTACCATTAGTTGTTGAATTTCTGAATTATGTTAGTAAACTTCTAAAAAAATAAAATAAAACCTGAAAAATCTGGATATTATCTGAGTGTAACTGTGCTCTTTGTGGGAAAAAAGTCTATCCTAGCATTCCCACTAACAAATGTTTATCAAGGAACAGAAGTCTCATACAAACTATTCCGTCAGCAATTTCATCGCAATGTGAGGATTTTCTGAAGGTCCAAATATCAATTGTTTGGGAATATTTTAGCATTGTTTTCAAAATTTAATGTTGAAAATAAGTTTTCACCATCTCCTCAGTATCATGACCCTGTTGTTTTTGTGACTCTAGATTGGACATGATTTTTATCCTCACAATGAGAATGCAGCGAAGGTGCCCCCTGCTCCGACGGGCAGGGCCTACACCAGCCCTCTAGTTGATATGTTCAACAACCCTGCAACGGTTCCCAAGGCATCTTCTGAAAAGCTAAATAATTCAGCAGGTGAGTGTCACTCTCTTAAGTGTGAATGACATCCTGTAGTGTTTAGTGTTATCTCAGGACTACTGTCATCACGTGAATTCCAGGATGTATAGAGGAGCAGAAAACGGTCTTTAGATACATAAATTACCTAACAGGAGCTATGTACATTATAAGAAGAACTGTTTGCAGTAAATTCAGGTCAAGATAGGTAGATTCTGGTTTAATCCCTTTGTGTGTCCCTGATGAATCCAGCTTAACTGCTCTTAGGACTTCAATCTTACCAGAACATGTTCTGTAATTTTGCACAAGGTACATCTGTTATTTCAGTGCACACAAAGAAACGTCACAGTCTAGGTTTTGGTTTCCTTGAAGAGCATTAGGAAGGAACACACATGGGACAAAATGAGCACAGTAATGTACTTATTTCCTGAAACATAAAATCCCATTCAGATTTGGTTTCTAAGTTTCTAATATACTGGACGTTTTTAATTTGTTCTACTATTGGGCAGGAAGGGAAAGGACTAAGCCCAGATCACAAAAGATATGTAGAACTCTGCAGTGGGATAGCAGCAATTCCAGTATTTCCTCCTTAAAAGTGTGTTTACAATATATTGTACTGATCAAATAACACACAATTTGAGATCTCCTTTATGCTGTTTTCTGGTAAACATCTGGTGTCTGCAGAATGCTGAGTCTCTTGCACTCACATGGATTTAGCTGGAGCTGATTGCTCGGCACATTTGGGAATGAAATCTTGGACTTCACACACAGTGACAATTCTTTAGAATGGAAATTTTCAGTGGTCTTTTCCAGCTGAGAACGTTCAGCAGCATTTCTCGTGCCAAAAAAGGGAAGAAGTAGAAGTTAAAACTTACACTGTTGTTCATGTCTGTTGGTTCAACTTTATTGTGATGGGGGGGTGTGTATATAAATGCACGTGCTATTAAGAACTTGAAGGTGATAATAAACGCTGGCAGGTAACTGAGAGATGTCTGAGTGGGAAGTACAAGGTCTCAGAACTTGGTTTGCACTCACGTATTCCGTTATCTACTTTTTATTTTCCTGTCAGGCTACTGATTTCTTTGATTTTATTAGTGTAGCTAATTTTGCTTTTTTTGCTTTGTTGTTCTGTTTTTTGACAGAGAGTTCAGAGGATGCCAGTTTATCACGTTCAACTTCTGTTGCCACGGGGCTCAATATAATGAAAAGGCAAAAAGTAAAGACAATCTTCCCACATACTGCTGGAAGTAACAAGACATTGCTTAGCTTTGCACAGGGGGATGTCATCACCCTTCTTGTAGCTGAGGAAAAGGACGGCTGGCTTTATGGGGAACATCAGACAACCAAAGTGTAAGATCATCTATTACCCAGGGTTGAACGTAAAGGAAAAACATGTTTCATAAGAGTTTGTTTGGAGATGTTAGTAAACGCTTTTCACCTCTTTTACTGCCTGTCACTGACTGATGACTTGGGATCTTTCTGTAAGGTGAATCACTGCAATTACTTCAGGGAGATTTTGTACACTAATTTGGTATCACCAGAAATAGAGGCTTTAAAACTTAAATCTCAGTTCATTGGGTCTGTTTTCTCCACTGCTATCTCTTGAAGTATCTTTCCAATTTTATATAATATGAATCTGAGAAACTTTTCCATTACAGAAAAGGATGGTTTCCATCATCATATACAAGACCGCTGGAAGAACCAGCAGAAGAAAAAGCATTTGCCCCAGTGCCAAGGTAACATTTTGTGTAGGACTTGCAGAAATGCTCAAATGTTATTTTTCTACTCATGTTCTTTGTTGTTTAGTAACATACATAGTATATACTTCCTGACAGTGTCTAGTATGATGCCTTGATTACATTAACATGTTCTGATGGTTACGCAAAGACCCAGGAACTGCCTTCACCCCAACTTTAGAGTCCTGCTGACTTCAGCAGGGTTGTACGCTGTTAATAACTTTCAGCTCATGCAGTTTTGTGCTTCTTGGGGCTAAAGTTGAGAGAGATGACTGCAAATGTCATTTGTTGGGTTCTGTCTTGCAGCCCTGCACCAATCAGAAGTATTAGTTCTGTAAACCTTGTGGAAAAAGGTGATGTTGTCCTCCCACCACCAGACTACCTGGGGTCTTTGCAAACAGAGAAGAGAATGGAGCCTTCCAAGGGTGCTGCTGTTAAAACACCAACTGACAGACCAGAAAATGCTGGCCCGGTAAGTCATTGATGTATCACAAATCTAAATGTTCCCCCTGCAAATGTTCCCCCTACTTTTCTTGACCTACTTAGCTGAGCTCTTAAATGAGGCTCTGGAATGTTCTACTTTAGCTACTTGTGCTTGACTTTGCTGCTGCTGTCTTCAGGAATGTCATCAGATTTTGGTATTTCAGACCACCAGTAGTAATAGGAAAGGAGAAGTGTTCAGGGATGTGAGAGTACTAGGAGACTTATTCTGCATAGCAAACTTCTCAGGAATGTAATCCGTTGAACATGAAAAGAAATTCTCACAGAAAATAGTACAAATTAAAATACTACAAAAGTGATTTTTTTGTAATGTCAGATTTTATACATTGGTTCCTATGGCTGGTTGTTGAGACCTCATGGGATCAACGTGTCCTTCAAATGCAATTATGTTCCCAGCAGTTAAAAGATGTCAGCCCATGGAAGCTGCCAAGCAAGCAGTTGAATGAGTTCTCTGCCCTGTGACAAGTTGCCTTACTCTAGAGCTTAAAAATTATTGCATCTCGTGAACTGTCTGGGTGTCATGGTGTTGTGCTGCTGGTGTTGCTATGGATAACTGTTCTCAGTCTCAAAAGTGATCACTATAAGCATTGCTTTATTTGTTCTGTGGCATTAGTTCAGGGCTTTTGGGAATAAACTTAGGACTTGTGGACTAATGTTCTTGTTGAACTGAAAAAACAAGGGGAATGGCAAAGCATTTAGTTGACAGACTAGGCCAGAATTCTAATTAGAAGAGTATATTCTCTTTGGAGGCCAGAATGGAAGCTTACAGCATTTCCAGAGTGGAAAACAAATGTACCTTTTTTGAGATTCTGAACTGCCACAGGGAAAGCAAAACTAAAAAAAAGAAAAAAAGGCAACTCTGAACTATAAAATAATACCTGCTGTTGAGATACCCTTTTACTGTGCTCTCCCCCCCCCCCCCCCCGATTCTTCTTACCTGTTACCATACGAAAGAAAGAAGAAAACTGTAGAGGAGAGTGGCTGCTCTTGCACCCCAGTGTTCTGCTGGAAAGTCACTATTTATTTTCTTTCCTCCTGAACACCTCAGAGCTTCCTTGTCGTTCCTGCTTCCATGCAAGGCATCAACCCCCACACTACTGCAAGGCTTTGGAAACAAGCTCATTAAACCAGGCTGGTCTTTAGGCTGATACAGAACTGACATACATGTAAAGCAGTATGCTTATAGTGTCTGTTATGCAGAAGCAGGATTCCTTGAGGCATCTGGTTTTTCAGAATACACTATAAAAATAGCTCAGGATTTCAAGAAGGAAAGATGAGGAATGGCTCTTGCAAGTTATATTGTTCATAGAATCATAGAATCATAGAATTGTTAGGGTTGGAAAGGACCTTAAGATCAAGTTCCAACCCCCCCTGCCATGTAGGACAATACTATGAAGAACAGTATCACCTAAGAAAGACTTAGTAGTTAACAGGGCTTTGATGAGAGTTGGAGTTCAGCGAGAAGTAGCATTTGTTCATTCTAATTAATTTTAGGGCTAATTGGGCCTAATTCTAAGGTCCAAGTCTATTCATGACTGATATACATGAGCAATTTCATTGGAATCACAAGTCACGCACATGCTGAATTAGGTCCTGATTAAATAGGTTTCTTCATGTGCACCATGATATTGTGAATATGGTAGGTAGGACTACTGGCACAATAGAGAGTGTGCCTGAAAACAACAGGCTCACAGGCCTTTGCTCAGCAGTGACATTTGAAGTCTTAAAACCAAAGTGACCATAAAGACTGAATAATTAATACAACTCAAGCTGTTGCATAAAAGGTGGCTGCATATTCCTGCTTCTACATGCAAGAGTGTGTATTCAAATGTTCATTTTGAACTGTATCTGACACCTATTAGAAGGAACACAATTAGTTTGCAGTTTAAAGTACAACATTAAGTATGATTATTGCTGAAAGTTGGGGGGGAAGTAGAAATTAACTGCCCAAACTGCCATGTAAAATGGGCTTGCAAAGGGTAATACAACAGGCTTCCGTTTTATCACACCTGGAACAGCAGGTCCTGTAGCAGCATGGTGACAGTGACACTGCATCTCTTGGGTTGTCCTGCCTTCACAACAATGAAGCACACTTCATCCACAGGTACAGTGCAGGCTGTAGCTATAACAACAAGGCTTTTCAGATGATTGTACACTTAAACATGACAGCTTCATTAGACTGAAATACTAGCAACAGCAATGCAAAACCATTCCTCCTTTTGTATCACTCCCATACAAGCAATGTAAATTATACATGTACGTCCAGCAGCTGTTTTCTTGCTTTTCTATTACTCACCACTCCTACTAGCAGAAGTCACAGGAGATAACTGAACTTGTACTTCGTGGATCCACAATAGTTAAATGCAGTATTTTGTAGGAAAAAAAAAGAACCCTAGATCAGAAATCTGCCCTCACTCCAGGCTTTTAGCATTTAAATATGTCATTATGCTGGCTGCTGCCTCTTTTAACTTCATGGCTTTACATTTCTGCGAAGACTCACTGAAATGTATTTGCTCTGTGAAATCTGCACCAAACCTGGTTTGGTGTTTTACTGTGAGAACTGCATTTTATAAATGCTGCTATAGAAACAGAATGGTGGTTTTGTGCTGAATGTGTGAACAGAATGGTGTATTTGTGCTGCAACGAGTTCTGGCCTTTTTCCTTTGGTTGATGGTTACTGCAGTGAGTTTTCACTTGCTCTTTTAACCCAGAAAATGCCCAGTGAACCTTCAGGTGATCAGTAATCATAAACCTCAGGGGGAGAACACCACACATAATAAAAAGCCAGACAGTGCTGACACCATTTTTTTACCTTTTTAACTTTGTTCTGAGAATTCTCTCCTTCCCAGTTCAGCTGAATTACACAATAATTATTCTAAACGTTTTAGCTGCTTGAATGACGAGGTCTCTTCTTTAGCAGGGTAGTGAGATCACCTCTAGCATGGCTTTTGTACCTCTATGTAAATATAATCTTCTTCTTCTTCTACAGAAACCTGACGCAAATGGCATTATAAAACCACCTTTTCTAAGGTATATTTTTTAAAAAGCTTTTACATTAATTTAGTTGTGTTGAGCTTTATATTGACTTATTGTATTGTATTGATTGTGAGGGAAAATGAAGGATGGTTTTGCCAAATCTGTGTGACCTTTCCTAGGCACTGGTAAAGCATTACAGCGGTAATTAAAATACCTCAAGTAAAATACAATATATAGGCCCTTCTGAGAAAAAAGTGTTTCTGCAGTAGTTTGCCAGGGAACAGAACTGTCTTTGTGGGTTAAAAATCTTTCAAAACTGGAAGCTGTGTATGAAAACAAATGCCCAAATCTAACTGGGCATTAACTTCCCACATTTTGGATCACTGCAGTGAGCCTTCATACATCAGCTTCTTCTTAAAATTCAAGTTAAAAAGAGTTACCTGGAATCCTTTAGTCTAAAACCATAACTTAGTCTTCAAACAACGTGGACAAAGGAACTGCATGGCTTAAACATGGGGTTGTGTTGTAGCAAACCTTCTAGTAACTGTGTACATTTCTTTTCAGTGGAGAAAATCCCTTCGCAACTGTGAAACTCAGACCAACAGTAACAAATGACAGATCAGCACCGATTATCCGATGAATGTACAGCCCATCATGTGTACTTCCTCCGTAGAAACACCATTTTCAGTAATTATTACTATCTAAACTTGTTCCAAGAATTTATTTAAATGTAATTACTGTACAGTAGAAGCAACCTGGAATGGATTTCTCATTTATTTTTAAACCTGTACTTTCTAATGAGGTAACTGCTTTGGGCTAATATCTGAGCACTTTGGCTTGATTTTACAGTATGCCTTTTTGTAGTAGGAATTGTGAAAATACTGGGGCTAGCTTGGATTCTCTAGTGAACCAGTGTAACTAATAGCTCTCAGA